CCTCTTAGTATTCTTACTTTCAATCTCCCCCTCGCGCCAACCCCCCTTCTTCTTTTATTCACGGCTAACAATGGGACACACCCAATCTCTGAGTAACTTTATGGCTGGAGATACACGCAGACACAGGGTGGTGCTTATATATACAACTGAAACGACAAATAACGCTCAAAGAGTCCACCACATTTTTTTTCTCCGATTTTATCGCTATTGTAGTCAGTTATAATTGGAACAAATGCTAAGTGGTGGCTTAAAGCCTGTGGTCAATAAGATGAAATCTTGAACTCCACTGCATTTTATTCATACGTTGTAATTTTAATTTCAAGATCTGGAAATGATGGAGGATTCAGTGTCGAAAGTCGGTGATCTCTATGGCAGACCAACGTCATGGGTTCAATCGATTCTACAACAGGAGGATGACCAATCAAAGAATGTATCGTCTGGAGCCTATCAGCGCATAGTGACGTCATATTTTGAGCCGATTTCATTGGATGAGACGCCACCACTACCACCAATCAATAACTTGCACAGACGGGAGGAGTTTTTGAACAATCAGACGATATATCATTCTGACGTTCAGTCTGTTGCCGCGGAAACAACGAGTTATACTACAAACTGGAATTCAGATATTGAAAGGATCACATTTGGTTGGAACACGGTTAACTAAATTTGTCATACTACTTACGCACTTTTAAGTAAACAATCAAATGAACTTAATATTTGTACAGGTTGCACCATGCACTTTCATTGGTTGTTTGCACGTTGTTCGAATTTGTGCACAAATAAATAACATAATTAACCTATCTTATTCTTATTGTTATTATCAAACCATTGTTTACCGTAGCATAATCACTTCTTGTTGAGTGAGAACGGGATCAAGGTGACAAATAAGAGGATGTTTCCAAAAGCTAATTTCATTGAACTAAAACGAAAATTATTCGATCATCTCAAAACGATTTGAAATTAAGTGAGAGCAACGTGCGAGTTTTCCGGCATCTTGATTCTGGTTTCACTTAAGAACTTGTAGTGCTGGCCTCAGGATTTAGTCTCCATGACCACTTTGAGCTTATAATGCCATAGTTGGTTACTTTCATCACAGTTCAAATACACATCAATTCAGTTGCTAGGTGGATGGTGTCCATTTCAAAGTATTATTATTATATCAAATGGCAGGCGTTTTAATCATTTTTATTATTATATCAAATGGCAGGCGCTTTGATTTTTGGCTTCAATCTGGGGAAGGAACATCAAAGTGTAAAAAAATCAAGAGGGGGGAGGAACCGATGAGTGTATCTAAG